TCACAATCATAATTAATCATGATTAATCCAGGTAAATCGTACATTCCTGTACCTAGTTTTTCTCAAGGAAATGATGCAAAAGTATAACTGCATTTCTACCAAAAACTGTAACACAGTTAGTGTGTTTTAATCATAGTGTGCGTCTTGTCATCGGCTGGTCGAGAATAGCCGGAGATAAGGTGTGAAAATGGCAGAGAATGAAGGGCGAGGCAGTTAACCCAAAGAACACTCTCCTCAGACGCTGTGGTGCCCCTCCAGGTGAGCAAGGCACCATTAATGAAGAACAGTTAGTGGACATTTTAAAAGTAAACCTTTAGCAGTTAGCACCACAGCTAGCACCACAGCTAGCACCACAGCTAGCACTGGGCTGTTGTTTAATCCCCCCCCTCCTCACCCCTCCCTCCCTCCCAAAGAGACCATTTTGTATTTGTGGTTTTTGTGTTCAGTTCACTGATTTTTACAGCTTAAATAGAACAATATGTGATGTCAGCTCTTGTGTTTCACTGCAGCTCTCACAGTCAGTAACTGCACAGGACCACGTCGGTGCTTTAGCATTGCTTTAGCATGTAGCATTGTTATAGCTCACATAGTTAGGATTTAGCCAATTGATTATATGTCTGAATTTTCTCAATTTAATAAGGAACATTATGTAATACATAGCACATATATATGTTATATGACACAACATTTGACAAACATATATTGGTTAAATGTGTAAAAATGTATTTCATATATATGTGTATATACGTGTACATATACGAATATATGTGTGTCTATATGTGTACATATATATGAATATATTTATATATGTACATATTTATATGTATACTGCATATATGTGTGTATATGTGTGTGTATATTTACATGCACATATGTATATAAAATACCTTCACGATAATTATTGTGAGTAAAACCACTTCTTTAATTTAATGTTTACTAAATTTTAAATGCCACCGACACTACAGTCGGGCTTGGTCGTTGTCATTGTTTGTTGCCGTGTACTCACACCTACAGTGTGATGTACCTGCAGTAACACACAAGCGACGGGGGACAACCTTATATGTTATATATATTTCAGTGTTTCTCATCAGAGGACTTTTGAGATGAAAGTTGAAGTGATTTACGGTTGTGGCGTTGTTGTCCTCCAGGAAGTGTTCACTGCTGCAGAGGGCTACATTTAATATGTGTGTATATGTGTATGTATATGTGTAATAATCAACCAGCCAATAAGGCTCTTATTGGATACTTTCAGAGGCAAATAAAAAACCAGAGATACAGGCTAAACCTCTCTGTGACTGATGAGGTTTAACTCAGTCACTTAATGATTGATTTGGAACTATTAGACACAGCTCTGGAAGATGAGGAGCGCAGGATTAAAAATTAAACAATTTCAGGACCGCACTGGTCTAATGTAAGAATTTTTGGACAAAATTGCTACAGAAAACCCCCCCAAAAATCAAAAATACAATCTGGGTCAAACTATATTCTCTTGTTGATTCTCGCAGCACTGTTAAACCATTTAGCCATGATGATAGTGAACAACTGAATAATTTTCTTTAAAAAAAAACACCAACAAAATTTTCACATTTCGGAGCCTAAAAGCACATTTGGGGAAAAAAGAAAAACAGTAATCTGTGTGAACTAAGTGTCAGACCATGTCTCCATATTGTCTGTTGATGTCCGTCTTTACACGGTCTCCTTTGCCAGTTCTATAGTGTGAGTTTCTGTAAACGGTTTCGCCGTCCTCTACCACACACAGCTGATTTTTCCACATTATGTTAAAAAGACAAGTCGCTCGCAGGAGCCGCTGATGCAAGGTCTGCTGAGGACAGCCAGACAGACACATCACTCAAACACAAGCATATGGAGAGCTGTGTGTGGAGGTGATAGATTTGGAACGCAGCCCCGGTGCTTTTAGTAGGACGGAGAGAGTCAGGGAGCATTAGAGAGAAACGGAGGTCTCTGGGCTGCAGACAATACGTATGTAGATATAAATGAATTTATATCTACATTTGTATATAGACACAATATATTTGTATGTCGTATTTATATTACAATACATTTGTATATGAATATATATGTTTGCATATTAATATATGTGTATATACTCACATATATAGAATGTATACTGTATTTATATATTGTATATATATTTGCATGTCTATATATGTATACACATATATACAAGGTAATATATATATACATGCATACATACATGCATATATACATACAAACAAACATACATACATATATATATAAATACATACATACATACATACATACATACATACATACATACATACATACATACATACATACATACATACATACATACATACATACATACATACATACATACATACATACATACATACATACATACATACATACATACATACATACATACATACATACATACATACATACATACATACATACATACATACATACATACATACATACATACATTCATACGTACATACATACATACATACATGTATATGTACCTTCTGTCACTGAAGTCTGGTCTCTGCTGAAGGCCTGCAGCTTCTGCAATCTTCGCAATCAGGCAGTAATGCTAGCAGCAACTGTTTCAGATTATGCTCAGGAAATCCTCGGTGCTCTCCGCTCAAAACAATTTACCCTGACATGAGCCCAAAAAGCGTTCACTGCGGTGTGTGTGTGTGTGTGTAGAGAGAGAGAGAGAGAGAGAGAGGGAGAGAACTGTCCCCACCAGAGTCCTCCTCTCAGGTCACCACAAACACACTGTGTCCTGCATAAACACCCCACACTGGCTGTAATATCAAATGCGTGTCTGTCTGTTCCTCTGAATTTACCCTCTGATTCCTCCACATGTTTGTGTGGGGTAAATCTGGAGGAGAACTGTTTTTATTCTAACAATTAAACCTACACCTGGGTTACTTCTCTGTTCGACCAAAGAAGTCGTCTTTGTGGAACAAAGTAGATCAAATACACACAGAAATGTTCCTGAGCCGTTAATGATTCCTAAAAAAAGAAATCAGGCTAAATGTCTGGAGAAAAGTTAAATACAATTGTTGTGAAATTTACAACAGATAGAAAACCATGTTTTTAATCACAACTATTGTTTTTGTTTTTGTTTTTGTTTCCTAACCTGTACAGGCTACAACATTTATATCCACAGTATTTTGTTCAGGATTATTTGTGGCTGAAATCATTGGAATTCTTTATATTTTTGTAATAATATTTAATTATTCTAATAATAATACTCCAAATGTGTTAAAAATATGTGGAGTCATCTGTCTGTGATTTGACTGAAAATTGTTAAAATACACAATTTTTATGGGTCTATATTAAATTGTGTCACTAGAGCTGTATGTTGGTGATTTTAAAATAACATTAGGTTTCTAAATCATATACATATTATTTATATTAATTTTGTTAGTAATTCATTTTAAAGATTTGACCAATTAAATACTTTTGTGAAAACAAACTTTGATATCACAGATTATTTTAGATTAGATTAGATTAGATTAGATTAGATTAGATTAGATTAGATTAGATTAGATTAGATTAGAATTCAGTACATCAGAGAAATAATGGTGTAACAAAATCTGAAAACAGATGAACCGGTCTACGTGTGATGCTGTACTTTAAATGTTGTCATATCAGGTCAGATTAGATTTTAAATTAGATTAGAATGACATGGAGGCATAAAAGAAATGTTGTTGTAACAGAATGTAAGGACAGATGGATCAGTCTGTGGACTTTTCTTTACATTTTTCAGATTAGATCACAAACAAATATATTCAATTCTAATGCAAACAACTGAACTGAAAATTCGATTTTTTTTTAAAAAAAGAATCGCGGTTTAAAACCGTTTGTCTTACACTGTATTAAAAGGCGTGAATAAATTAAATCATTTGTAAACAGCAGGTGGCGCCGGCTTCAGTAGAACGGTATATATTTTAGCATCTTATCATAATAAATTTATATATATAGGTATATATATATATATATATATATATATATTTGGAAATGACTGCCACACGTTACTGTAAACATTTAACGTGTTTAAAAAACACATTATATTAGAACTCTAAACTAATATATTACATACTACAACCACTAAACTGTGCCACAGGGATTAAAAAAATAATAATCTTAATCTCAATCTGAATAATTCTAACAGTTTTTGCCAGAAACTTCACATTCCAATATATAGATATATAAAAACATCGTGATTCTGATTCTATGTATTTACTTTGACTCGTGTGTTATTAATAACTGAGTACACTGTTATTATTACTAATATTATTACTATTAATATTATCAGTATTGTTGTTGCTGTTGTTGCTATAGTAACCTCAAGGAAGAAGAAAAAAAAAACCCTTCTGACTGAACGTGTGTCTTGTGAATTTCTGCCCATATTTGGTTCCAGACCCAGATCTGGTTGAGGTGCAGTGGTGTCTTATTTTCATGGCCCGGAACCGACAGAACAAACTCTCGGCGAGAGCAAAGAAAACACGGCAACAAAAAAGGAGCCAATGATCCACAGCAGCAGCAGCAAAAACAAAACAAAACAAAACAAAAAGCGAGACCAAAATAAAAGGCTTCTCTGCCCTGACGTCTGTGACTCGACATCAGATTGAAAGGCAGCGGAGCAGCTCGGTGTGTAAACACCGCTGACAGACAGACAGACAGACAGACAGACAGACAGACAGACAGACAGCTGCTGCTGCTGCTGCTGCTCGTGTTGACTCACTCAGCTATAATTAAATTTCCTTTTGTCACTCACTTTTTAAAAAAAAAAATTTTATTTAACTCAAAGCCTTAATGATTGTCATTGTTATCGTGGAATAATTTAATCCAACTGTGCATTATGTCGGGTTTGTTTCAACGTGTCACCGCTTCGATATCAATAAAAAAAATCGTTCGATACGATAATTGGTATAAATACGGTAAATACGATAATTTTTTTAAAAAATCCAAATGCACAAATAACACAGAGACAAAGGTGTTACTTTAGTTTTATTGGAAACTAATTACCATGACTCTAATGAAAATCTTTAGTTTCCATCGCAGGAGGTTTTACTATAACTCTTTATCTTTAACAAAATATCATAAATTAAAGCAAATGGCCAGTCCAGTTTAAGTGTTGAGTTGAGTCGCAGGAGGTGTATGAGTGTGTGTGTATATGAGTGTGTGTGTGTGTGTGTGTGAAGTGCAGGAGGTCACTAAAACAAAACCTCAGCACTGAGCCGATACACAGACTATAAGCGCATATAAGGGATTTTTCTTTCTGTTCTCTATCCAAATTTAACGACAGACAGGTCAGTCTATATGATAAGGTACAGGCTACGATAGTGTGATTTCATACATCAATCTGATTCCAGTCTCTTTTTTCCCCCTCGTTTTTTCATCTTCCTTCTTAGATTTGCTTGGTAAAACATGTATATAAGCACCGAGTGTCACGGACTCTTTAAGAGCCCAAATCCACAAGACTGGAGGTTAGAGGTCCCAACAAGGAGTCCTGCAGTTGGTGCGGGTGTCCGTGCATGCCGTGCACCGGCTGTGGGGCTCCGAGGCCGGACATGGGGTAAGCGGAGGCCCCGGGGTGGCTCATGTTACCCTGGAGCAAAAGCGCAGAGTTCTGGTCGGGGCTCTGAGGCGGAGAAAACTCGTCCTCCGAGCTGGACATGAGAGACTTTCCTCCGTCCAGCGGCGACAGCTGGTTCTGTTTGTTGCCGCCCGCGTTGTTGTTTTCGCTGTTCTCTCTGGGAAAGAAGGGAGAGAGAAAAAGGGGGAGAGATGTTAGAAAACAGGCCGGGACACAGGACATGAGCTGCGGGGAAAAAAGTGTCGTAAACATTTAATCGGGCCTCGTTTATTTTGGGTCCAAACGTGGGATTCATTTAATTCTGTATGGATTTCAAACAAAACGCTTGTTGTTGCGTAATTTACGTCTTTTTTTAAATTCAGAAATCTGTTTTATGTCACTGATAAATCTGCACCAAATTATTTGCACATCAAACCTCCAGATCTGTACATCACAAAAGGACGACTGATAATCCTGATGTAAAGTCTGTCCAACGGTTTGTTGTTAAATTGATGACGTCACATTCAGAGTCATTTACGGATTTAGACGAGTCTTTAGTTTTAAACAAAAACGAAGGACTTCACTAAAACCTAGGGTCGACATTATTGTGATTGTGCTGCTCTCCTCCACGTGTGGTCACATCTGTGGTTCTCACCCCCCTCTCTGTCCCCCTGACCGCCTGTATTTGGTCTCATTCCGGTTCAAGCTCAACCCGCATTTGCTGCATTGTAAAATAATCGAAAGAAAAATGTAAACATCGTTTTTTTTTCTTTGACTGTGAGGTAAGATCAGCAGCGGCAGCGCGCCCCGCCCCCCCCACCACCACCACCCCCAACACTAACACCACCATCAGCAGCAGCAGCAGACGGACAGACTGACAGACGGACGTACCTCTCCTTGGCCTCCGCGGCTCTGTCCCTCTGCCGTCTGTTTTTGAACCAGTTGCTGACCTGCGTCGTGGTCAGTCCCGTGGCCTCGGCCAGCTCCCTCTTTTCCCGCGGGGACGGGTAGGGGTTGTGCGTGTACCACTCTCTCAGAACCCCCCTGGACTTCTCTTTAAAGCAGTAGCTGGTCTCCTCCCCGTCCCAGATGGTTCGGGGCAGCGGGAATTTCCTGCGCACCCGGTACTTGCCCACGGCTCCGAGCGGCCGACCGCGCAGCTTCTCCGCCTCCACGTAGTGCGCCTTCAGCCACAGCTGCTGCAGCTTCGGGTGGTTGTGCGGCGAGAACTGGTGGCTCTCCAGGATCTTGTAGAGCTCCCTGAAGTTCCCCCGGTGGAAGGCCACCACCGCCTTAGCCTTGAGGACGCTCTCGTTCTTGTGGAGGGGGGACGCGGCTGGCGGCGACCCACA